GACGCGCCCTGCCCTCGTCCCACCTACACCGACGCCCCCTGCCCTCGGCCAACCTACACCGACGCCCCCTGCCCTCGGCCAACCTACACCGACGCCCCCTGCCCTCGGCCAACCTACACCGACGCTCCCTGCCCTCGGACGACCTATGTCGATGCCCCTTGCCCTCAACCAACCTACACAGGCGCCCCCTGCCCTTGGCCGACCTACATCACCCCTTGCCCTCGGACAACCTACGTCAACGCCCCCTGCCCTCGGCCGACCTACAGTGGCGCCCCCTGCCCTCGGACGACCTACGTCGGTGCCCTCAGCCCTCGGCTGACCTACGTCGGCGCCCCCTGCCCTCGGACAACCTATGTCGGCATCCCCTGCCCTCGGCCGACCTACACCGACGCCCCCTGCCCTCAGACAACCTACATCCATCGGCGCCCCCTGCCCTCGACCAACCTACACAGGCGCCCCCTGCCCTCGGCCGACCTTCGCCGGCGCCCCCTGGAGGCTCACCTAGGTCGGTGTCGCCGCTGTCGATGGCCTTGGTGAGGGCGAGGTCGTCGCGATTGACCTTCATCAGGAGCGGCACCTGCTCGGACGCCCGCGGCTCGTGGTCCAGCAGCTGCAAGCATCCGTCGCCGTGACAACAACAACGATGTCGTCACGACGCGTCGTCGCCACGGAGACGACGCGCGCTCCTCGACAACAACGCCGTGGAAATATATTACGCTGTTTAACAACGGCTACGCTATATATGTTACGCTAGGGGTCAGTGTGGGGTCAGGCAGGGGTCAGACAGGGGTCGATCAGTCAGCATGGGGTCGATCAGTCAGCGTGGGGTTAGGCAGGGGTTGGGCGGTCAGCGTGGGCTCAGATAGGGATCAGTATGGGGTCAGGCACGGATCGGCTTGGAATCAAACAGGAATCGGTGGATCAGCATGGGGTCAGTGTGGGGTCAGCATGGGGCCAGATAGGGGTCAACGTGGGGTCAGGGTGAGGTCAGAGTGGGGTCAGACATGGGTCGGTGGTTCAGCATGGAGGTCAGGGTGGGGTCAGGCTGGGGTCAGGGTGAGGTCAGCATGGGGGTCAGGCTGGGGTCAGGGTGAGATCAGCGTGGGGGGTCGTACTCACGCGTATGGCGAGCTGTGTGCGGCCGCATTCTGACGCCTTGCTCGCGATCTCGGAGTAAGAGATGCCCGCCGTGTTTCCCAGCTTCTCCGCGATCGCTAGCGCCACCTGCTCGTCGTCGATGTCCGTCTGCTGCACCTGTAATGGCAGCGCAGATGATCACACGACCGCCGACGCCATCTACCGGCCGCTTTATGAACTACTGGAGCCGTCGATCACCGACCGCCAGCGCCATCTACCGGCCGCTTTATGAACTCATGGGGCTGACGATCACCGCCCGCAGACGCCATCTACCGGCCGCTTTATGAACTACTGTGGCCGGCGATCACCGCCCACAGATGCCATCTGCCGGCCGCTTTACGAGCTAATGCGAGAGATAGCGATAAATCTGAATCTGAAACGAGATGCAGAATCTGAAACCTGTGTCACATCCTCCTCCATGACTTACGGATATCAACACTTGCATAGGTTTATCCAACTGATAACTGCTAGCCTAGCTTAGATAGGTATTTAGCTGATGACTCGCTAGTGTTGTCAATAGGTTGTAATTTCGTAATCGATCATCGGTTGGACCCAAGTAACCGATGATCGGTTA